CCTGGTTCTGGAGATCTACTTTCCAGTTCCCACCAAAACCTGCCACATCTGCTCCAGCCAATAAACTTCTTCAGAAGTTCTTCAGTGGCTGGATCAGATGCATTAGTGTTTGGTGACGGGAGGGGCAGCATGTTAGATGAAGGCTGGAACTAAATGCTGCAGAACAGTAGATCTCCAGGAAGAGGGTTGGTGACCACTTCTCTCTGATAAGACTTTGCCATCTAGTGGTGAAACGTGTGTCTGTATTGTGCTCTTTCGGAACCACAAAACAGGTTGTATGAAGGGTTTACAAAATCGAACAGCTAAAACTGTTCCTGTATGTAAACTCATCTTTGTAAAAGCCTCACCTGCATTCCCGTTGGCAGCAGGCTGCTCAGCCTGCTGGGCTTGCTGGAACACAGAATCTCCAAAGCCAAGCCACTCCTTCATCACCGAGAGCTTCTCTCCTACATGCACAAATTCATCCATCATCTGAACCAGACAGAGAGACAGATACAGACAAATTATTCTATCAATTACACATAGTAGTACTAATGTCAGCAAGCAGTAAGTAAACATTCTATGTTATTTAATTTTTTCTAATACCAATTATTGTTCCAATAATTGCATGACTGTGGCAGGGATTGTTTGACTGACCAGCAGCATATTCAGGCTGTGCCAGTGCTGGTCAGATATGTACTGTTGCAGGAAGTGCTCATTAATGATCCCGCGCAGACTGCACTCCATCTGAGCTGACTGCTTCTGAATCTGAACCTCCGCAGCACGCATCTCTGTGTGGATCTGAGGAAAACAAGCAGGACTTAATAATAATATACAATAAACCCTGTAACCCTGTAGTAAGACTGTACTATTAAAAGCATGAACTTTGAAAGTCCAGGCTATGAAAGAACTCTAAACTACACCACTTCTAATAACATGTTCTACTAACATTGTTTTCCACCTGTTTCCTACATAGTACTAAGCTACCTCCCTGTATGTAGCTGTATATATAAGAATGACAGCAGCCCTGGTCAAATTACATGTTTTGTTGACTTTTTTTTTTGTTTTATTGATTTGTGTCAAATTATTGAAAATAATTTAACTTCTTCAAAGGACAAGCTTTTGCACATTTTAATGCACAATTACTGTTTATTGACTGTACATTTAACATATTGGGAAAAAATAAAACATAAATTGTGGCCTGTGTAAAAATTATGGCACATTTTATCATTTTTTCCATTATGTTCAGTAAATAAATAGAAACTGTGCACTAAAATTAGCAGAAAAATGCTGTATTTAAGTTTCTCGTAGAGGATGTGTAACCTTATTTACATGCAGTTCAACTTGGGGTGTTCGAACGTTTGCATTTGTATCACCTCACCTCAGAGTAGGCCTTCTTAAGGTGTGGTGGCAGGTCCCTACGGAAGCTTGATGACCTGGTCAGCTCCCGCAGAGAGAAACGCTTCAGTATCTCACTGTTACTTCGCCCTCCCACCCTTACAATACCTCTCATTAAGAAGCCATGGATCCCTGAAATGAACACAACATCACCTTCTCATTACAGAGCTTTTGGAATACCGTCATAGTCTACTGACTTCTGTCATGATAGATCTCTGAGACATAATTGGCACATTAGTCATCCAATACCTTCCAGAAACTGGTCTAGAGCATGGTTGGTGTAGCAAACCACCAGCATCGGGGTCTTTTCTGACCACACCTCCGAGTTGTCCAGCAAAGCCCGTGCAATCTTCAGCCCCACATATGTTTTCCCTGCCAACAAATCATCACTGGGAGTTAGCAGAATTGACAGTAGTGTCCCTTTTCTTTACCAAATTCAATATAACTGATTTGTGTTTGCTGGACCACTGCACTGAACAATAGGAACATAACTGGTTGGTCTTAAACTGGACTTAAGACTGACTCCACCTGGACTGGAGGTATCTCCGAGCTCAATATTTGTGGGCTGCTCTCCTCTAGAAATGTTATAAACTTTGTTCTAGTACTGAAGCACTCAAGATGTTAATCAGCTGGATCAGCAATGCTAGATTAGATTAGGTAGCGCTGTAGAAGAGTAGTCTCTAGATTTCTGGATAATTTTTGAATTTATCATAATCTGCGTTCCCCTACCTGTGCCTGGTGGGCCCTGTATGATGGCCAGCTCTTTGGTGAGGGCCAGTTTAACAGCTTTGAGCTGGCTCTCATCCAGGCCCAGGTGCTCCTCAGTTGGCCAGGCGTTAGGATTCAGGGGGTTAAAGGGTTTCACATTGTCCTTATGGTCCTCCGCAGCAATACAAGACAGATCATATGTTGTTCTTAACTGTGTGAGGTAGGCTGGAGGGTGGACATCTTGGTTACATTCCACGATGTACCTAAAATTGTAGACAGAAAGAACTCTCATGAAGAAAATTCTGATGATACTTCAGTAACTTTATAATGTTTACACCTCTTTACGCTCAAGTAATACCTCTGAAAGGGAAGATCCTCCTCTACTTGCTCCTGAAGCCCCTCCAGGACATAACGGTAGGCCTCAAAGTATGCAGTGGTCTCCACCATCAGAAAAGATTGAGAAGTCGGGATCTTGGCCAGTTCGGCGCGACTGTCTTTAGAGAAACTAAGCTGCACTTCGCCATGTCTTAGCGAAGCAGGGTCGCGGTCAGACACTGTAGCAAAAAGGAACGTTTCAAAATTGTCCATAGACAAGCAGACCAGGGACCCGTACAGCAGCCGTTTGGAATTCTCCCAGCGCACAAACTGTGAATCACAAACATGCACAAAAAGTCATTATTGAATCAGCTCTAACTTCTCATGAAAATTAACTAAAATGAAACTGGTTCATGAGGTTTACTATCTATATGAGATAATATCATTAAAGAGAGGAGAAAAAACCCACCATCAACCCACCATCAATCCATGAATAAACATTCTTAGTTGTAAATACTTGTAATTCTAAAAAAATCATACATCATGCAGTCTGAATAGGATTTTAAGGTTACATTGACATTAAAAGCCTCATTGCGCAAATCAGATTTTTTGCAATATCTGATCTTTACACCTTGACAGCTCATATTCATGTTTGTAAGCATACATGAAGTATGGTGTAGAAAAGAAACTCCCATTATGGTTGTATAGTGAAGTATAGAATATGTATCTGAGCCAGGATGGCATTTGACTAAAATGTGCTTTGAAAAGTTCATATTTTTGAGTTGAAGCTGCACTATGTAAATTTTGGGGATTTGGAGACCTCCCTGGTGGAAACGCGTAATTGCACGCAACATGTGGAAGAACATTATGTAAGGTTGGTTGTGCTTCAGACCCCTTACCCAAGCAAACTTGGTAAACGACATGTCTTTTGAGGAGGTAAGTGAGTTATTCAGTATTGTCAACATATCTTCATGATTACATGATATAGTTTTTACATTTAAGACATAAAGATTGAGCCAGAGCTTCATTTTGTGCCTGTGCATGTTAAAATGTAAAGATGTTGACGTAGTCTGAAAACCACCCACGAAATTTGACCCAATGCCTCTGACTTTGAAATATTTCTTTTAGGCTTTACATGGTGACGCACCGCAGTGCACACACACCATATTTTAGCAAGTTTTTTTTCTCCTTACCTACATAGTACAGCTTTACTACAAAAAAAAAAAGATTTCAGATCGAGGCAAAACTTCAACCCTATAATGTAAATGTAGCCTCAAACATTTATTATCATCTGACCTCAAGGGGGCGTGCGTCAAACTGCACTCTGTAGGCTGTCCCAGTCGGAGTGCAGAGTGGTACGACCAATCGGGTATCAAAGTAGACCCTGATGTCGTCGAAGCGCCTCTTTCTCATTGGCACTTTGCCAAGAGTTTCATCGTACTGACTTTGGAGCAGCTCCCGGATGCCTTCACGTAATGGCCTCACAAAGTCCTCTCTCAGAAGCCTAAAATGAGTGTCCAGGTAGGTGTAGGCACTGGGGTAGCTTTGTGACATAATGTTAGGCCGCAGAAAAGGCTTCCGGCCTTGTTGGAATTCTTCAGGAGTTGGGTAGATGGTCATATTCCTGAAGTCCTCTTCATCTGGAGGAGCGTCCTCGTTGCCAATGAGGAGGGTGTAGTTGTCTGACCTCAAAGTCCCTTCTCTCGCTTTTTCTTGGAGGTGGTCCACCATAACCTGGATCTTCTCCAGGTTCTCGTTGATTGAGTCACAAATGTCTATGCCAGAAGCTCGCAGCAGATTGACCGCTGGCTTCAGGATAGCCAAAAGCATTGAGACTGAGCGTACGGAGCTATAGGGGAACATGCTGACCACGTCAGACAAAAGGCTGATGATGTTATCCAAGTGCAGAGGGCACTGCTCCCTCCGGGCAGGGATGGAGTAATCACTCATTATTCCACTCACGTAGAGGGGGAGCACGGTTTGGAAGAAGGCAGAATCCTTGACCACCTGAACCAGATGGAGTACTATTGTGCGGTCATTCTTGGACTGAAAGGCTTTGCGAAGAACCTGGCAGAGCAGCTGTACAAGGTCCTGACGCATAGTCCTCTCGTGCAGCAGAGCCTTCAATTCTGCACTGGAGGAGAGAGTAATGGCCACCACAGAGGCGTCTTTCTCCAGCAGCTCCTCCAATCTTTTGTACCCTATTTTGCGTACCTCAGGGGTACCATCTCTACTGTTTCCACTCCCATGGCCCCCTCTTCCTCTCTGAACTTCTCCTCCTCCCCTTCCTCCTCTGCCTCTCTGAGCCACTCCACCTCCATTTCTCTCCCTCTGGATATCTAGCCTTAGGTTTCCTCTATTTTCTCCTCTCCTCTCACCTCTGCCTCTTCCTGCCTCTTCTCTGCCACCTCCTCCTTGTCCTCCTCCTCTGCCACCTCCTTCTGCACCATCTCTTCCTCCGCCGCCTCCTCTTCCAGCACCACCTCTTCCTCTGCCGCCTCCTCCTCCTCCCGCACCATCTCTTCCTCCGCCACCTCCTCCTCCTGCACCACCTCTTCCTCTGCCGCCTCCTCCTCCTGCACCACCTCTTCCTCTGCCAACTCCTCCCCCTGCACCTCCTCTTCCTCTGCCACCTCCTCCTGCAGCTCCTACTCTTCCTCTACCTGCTCCCTCCCCTGCACCTCCTCTTCTGCCTATGCCATCTCTCTCTCTTTCCTGGTTAGGCATCCCATTTTCCCGTCTTTGACCAGGCTCTGTACCAATGGAACACGGAAAGAAAGCACAGGATCAGAAACAACAGAAATAAACACGTCTATACAAAAAATTTACAATATGTTCAAAAGTATCCAGACACCTCTTCTAATTAGTCAATTCAAAAAGCTACTTTAAAGGGCCCATATCCTATATTTGTATTGAATTTTATCTTTTTCCTGAGGTCCACTGTGGTTTTGCAACCAATAATTTGACCTGTGAAATATATCCAGAAATTTCACTCATGATATGTCAGCCACAACACTTGTATGTATGTTTTAAATGCTATATATGTTACTCATAAATACAGGGTAGCTGTCACTGTTCTTTGGGTGCAAGGAAGGTAACAAATCAGCTACTCCTCACATTCTGCCTGCCACATTCTCATGGGCCCTTAAGGGTGAACCCAGGTGTCACTCTTCACAATGCTGAATGTTGGGGTATAAAGGGGTACAAAGCCTCCCAGCACTGAGCTGTGGAACTGCGTTCTGAGGAGTGACAGGGCACCACTGAGTACCAGCAAAGGGGTGCACACTCCTTATTATTACACTTGATTTTAGTAGACATATTAGATAAGCAAGTGTCTGCAAACTTTTGGACATACAGTGTAGGTCACAGACTGAACATAAAAAGAGGAAAACTAAAAATAAAAATAATAAAAATAAAAAAATGGAACTTGCAAGAAGAAGAAAGAAAGAGAATAAATCAGAGAAAAAGAGAAATACCTCTTCTCGGTTGTTCATTGCCACCTCCTCTTTGTCTGTTTTCCATGCTTCAACACAGCCTTCTTCTGCACTTTAGGAGATAAAACAAACATTGTAATGCTCTGAAGAAGCCAATAATAAAAGTACCCATACATAAATGGGTAACACTTCCTAATAACCTCCATTAATACACCACTAACTGACCATTAATGACTATGAACAAATCATTAGTTCGTCAACATTCGAAAACTAACCAATGTTTTAAATGACTGTTCATGTAACTTTTGATGTGTGCATTCATTTTTGCAAATAATGTATATAATGTTTTTTCCTACATTCACAACATACACTTTTCACCGACAAATAACAGGTTCTACATCAGTACATGCACAATTGTGGGAAAAAGTTTGGGCACCCCTAGTCAGATTACGTTTTGTTGATTTTCTAAGTGAAAATAAGTGAACACATCTTTTACAGAGAATACACTTATGCACATTTTGATGCACAATTTTTGTTTATTTACTGAATTTCACATATTAAGAAAAAACATAAAATTTGTCCTTTGCAAAATTTATAACATTTTGTATTTCATGCTTATATTTTTAGCAAATAAATAAAGTTGTGTGCTAAGATTTACAGATAAATGTCATATTTAAGTTTGTTCCCTGTAAAAGATGTGTTTTTCAGAACTGCAGATGGAATACTAACTCAAACGAAACAGAGAGAACATGTAAGACCTGTTTTAGCTTCATCACACTGGTTGCTTTTCATTTAGAATTGATTTTAAAATTATTTTACTGGTTTTTAAATCTCTAAATGGATTTGCATCCACACACATCTCTGAATGCCTGATGGAATATAAGAATCTGGAGCTCTTAACAAATGAATAGTGTTAAAATTCTGTAGTATAGTAATAGTAATAGTGTTCTGTTAGATATCTGTTTTATTCTTCCTTTATTATTCAAAATCTTATTTTATTAATTATATTGTTCTTATTTTTCATTCTCAGTTATTTTATTCTATTTTATTTATATTTTATGTTTAATTATTTCTGTTTATTTATTCATTATTGTTACCATTTTTATTAAATAAGCATTTCTTTCAATTGTTTTTACTTTGTCTTACTTACTGTCTTACATAAATGATTTTGATGTTTTATTTAATTTCATTGTGAAGCACTTTGAGCTGCATTTTATGTATGAAAGGTGCTACATAAATAAAGTTATTATTATTAGTAGTAGTAGTAGTAGTAGTAGTAATTCATTGTCACTCAGAAAATCAACAAAGCATTTAATTTGACTGCCTGGAGTCAAAAACTGTACAACATTCCTAAGTTGCATCAGTGAGATGTATAGTTTTCTAATGGTGACCTAAGTTTTAGGTTTTATCCAACAATGATAAAATATATTGCAGTTAAAAATGTGACATTGTACACTTAAAAATGTTTGAAGTTATAATTCATGTTAACAGATGTGTGATGAGTAAACATGTATATTCATACATTTATAGTTATTGGCTGGTTTGCAATACTTAAACTAAGTCCCTAAATATTGACACATTAACCGTTGGACAAATCTGGCTACATTTATCTTTTATAATATTCCTGCATTATTTACAGAAACAATAATGTGCACATTATGAACACTACAAACATTTTCAAAGAAGTTAATCTGAAGCTAAACAGGTTTAGAATCTGTTGTAAATGATTAGAACCTACTGGTAGTGCTGTACTGATGTTGTACACCCTGTGATGTATCAGTGAAATGGTGCGCTGTAAAGGTAGAGAAAAGCACTATGTGGATCATTCTACAGAACTGCGAAGGCAGTCTCACTTCCTGCTCTCAAATGCAGAGACCTAAAATAAAGCTCCGCCTACAGACTAAAACTGCTTTTCGGTAGTGATACGGAAACATGGGATGGCAATCTTTTAATAAAGTTATTTTTAAAGTAACTCACAACAAATCTAAATCTTTTAAATTCACTTATAGAAACAACATCGGAAATAAAACATTTATAAATAAGTAATGGGGTTAGGGTCTGGAACAGTCATCTCCCAATAGAAAGTACCCTACAAATGAAGATTTGTACAGATTACACACTTCTAAAAGATGGTTCTTCAAGGGATCTTGAGTAATACATACATATATATATATATATATATATATATATATATATATATATATATATATATATATATCAATTATATATATCTATATATATATAGTTAGGTAACTATGATATATGTAGGGTTTTTGAAAAGGGTTCCATATAACACCAAAAAAGGTTCTTCTACTGTGTCAAGCTTGACATTGTAACAATAGAAGAACCCTTTTTGGTGCTATATAGAACTCTTTTCAAAAAGGTTCTATATAAAGTCACCTACAGCACATTCTCCATCAGCCAGAAGAACCCTTTCACTATACAAAGAACCCTTTAATCATGCAAATGGTTCTTTGGTGTTTGTGGTCCATATAAAACCATTTTTTTTTACTAAAGAACCCCTGGAAAACCCTCTTTTTTAGAGGTGTACTTAGTAGAACGGTCCAAATACATAACTGTAGGTATGAAAGCACACAAAACTACATGAACAGCAATATATAAAAATTTGTAAATGTTTAAATTCTGATGAACTGATTTCATATTTTTTGTTCACAGCTATAAACAGAACTGTGTGTTAATGAAATATTATTATAAAATGAAATATTATTATAAAATGTTAACAATAAAAAAGAAGCGCCTACCAATCTTGAAAAAACAAGGCCGAGAAAAACACGCCCGTTCTGTCAGTACAGATCTCATACATTCACTTCCTGTCCCACACATTGCTTATTCATGAGAACGAAGCGCGAGATACTACCGGCGTCCTCAAGGGGGCGTCAGTATAGTTTCCTTTCTAAGCAATGATGTAACAGCTGTAAAAACACACACAGCCCATACAAACTGCCCTTTCCGCAAAAGGACTGATATGATTCTAATGTCTTTAGTGTCCACTATGAGTTCCCATCTAGCTTCAGTGAATCTAAGGTGTAGTCTGGACTGTGTCGCTCCGCATATGTAACTTTCTCAGCTAATCACACCTGAACATCCACGCAGTAGATCACGGAATACACAGACCTGCTTCCACGAGATGAAGACGAGGTTTCAGCGATGTGGCGAATAACAGTCCGCAGCTTCTCACCGGGGTGTCGACCTGAAAAGAAATGGATATCATAGAAATAATGTTACACAGAACTATTATGTCTGTTCTGGGTCGATGGGGTGCCGCAGCTCGGGACCTTACCGGTTTAACACATCCTGCCTCTGCTGTTCTGATGGGGCTTTAGCTGCCGCTGCGCTTAAAAGCCGCCTTAGGTTTCGTTTTCGAGCTCGGGCGCTTGAGGGAGGAGGAAAGGAGGGGAGTGAATGGCAGAGTCATAACTCATAACCGAAACCACCGCGAGGCTGAAAGAGAAACAAAACTGATAGTGTTGCTGAGCGCCTGTTTAAAACACAGCCTGTTGAGAGTCCTGGTGGGTTTTCTCTGCGAGAATCTTTTAGGTAAGGCTAAAGCCCACAGGTACTTCAATAAAGAAGGAAACGGAACGAGGTTTTTCATATTTGTGCTGTACAGACTTCAACAACAATGCATGTATTTATTCTCAGCTTTGGACATATATATATATATATATATATATATATATATATATATATATATATATATGTATATATATATATATGTATGTGTGTGTGTGTGTGTGTGTGTGTGTGTGTGTGTGTGTATATATATAATATATATATATATATATATATATGGCTCATTCTACAGAAACAATGTATGTATTTACTCTCATCACGTCAGCTTCCCCCTCATATATGTATATGGATATATGTATGGCTCATTCTACAGAAAACGTCCATTATTGTGTCCCTAGCGTTTACAGACATATTACTTCTTGAGCCTCAATTTAGCACTAGAGAAGCGCTTGTCCCCACAGTCATGTGTAAAGGGTGAGCTCCATATTTTAAAGACAAAGCAACCTTTTTTCTTCAATTTTAACTGCTAATCTATACATGACTATGAAATATATGATTTATTAATGACATGAAGAAAACTAATGGCAAATAAATATTATAAAATATATAATGAAAGTTGTGGTCACCAGTAAACAGTTGTTCAAAATACAAACTAAACTGAAATGTGCAGTACACCACTGTGCTTTGGTATATGTATACACTCTTTGGCTACTTTATTATTTACAGCTACCTTGTATTTGCTAATCTTCTGTTTAATCAGGTCCATTTATATAGGAGCATTTTGTAGATATACAGTTACAGACTGTAGTCCATCTGTTTCTCTGCATACTTTGTTAGCCCCCTTTCACCCTCTTCTTCAGTAGTCAGGGCCCCCTCAGGACCCCCACAGAGCAAGTATTATTTGGGTGGTGGATCATTCTCAGCACTGCAGTGACACTGACGTGGTGGCAGTGTGTTAGTGTGTGTTTTGCTGGTATGAGCGGATCAGTCCACCAATCAAAAACATACAGCCAAAAGCGTCCTGTGACCACTGATGAAGGACTAGAGGATGACTAACAAACTGCATCAACAGATGAGCTACTGTCTCTGACTTTACATCTACAAGCACTAGCAAGGTAGGAGTGCATAGAGTGGACAGTGAATGGACACAGTGCTTGAAATCCTGGTTTAAGTGTAAGTGGTTTTGCTTGTACCTTTTAAATCTATCACTGCATTTCTGTAAGTTTCCTAAATCCAGTAAAGGCTTTGCTTCCAAACCTGAAGCCAGGAGCAGCAGGGGGGACAAAGTACACAACGTCTGTACTTGAGTAAAAGGGGGAAATGCTCTTGGTAAAATATTACTTGAGCAAAAGTAATCGATCAATATTTGTGTTCGCTTTAGTTGCTTTGAACTACTTAAGTATCAGAAGTAAAAGAGCTAAGCTATTAAAGAAGTTCTATCATTTTGATGAATACTTTCCAATGAGGAGAGGAACAGTTAGCTCTAATGCCTGCAGCCACACAGGCCTCCTTAACAGAGAGTATTAAAAACAACAGAACTGCAGTAATTCTCAGTACTTTTATTTAAGATTATTTGACGAAATACATTTGAAGGCAACCTGCAATCAAATTGGAACTTTATTTACTTCGGTAATCACCATAATTAATTCATTAATTCATTCAACAAAATTCTTATTTTACCATAATCTTCCATTAAAATGTAATTACTGTTCCAAAAATTAAACAAATAAAAAGAACACTAACATCTTTTCAGTGCATTACGATCTCAGATTTAACTCTTACTGTACATTGTACATTAACTCAAGTAAAACGTATAAATAGAATACTTCTTCTTAAGAGTTTCTACTTTTACTCAAGTTCAGAAGTTTTGTACTTCGTTCTCTCCTGGCGAGGAGCTCCTATAGCTTAAAATGTGGTGGGTTAATAGGGAGTGTAGAAGCAAAAGAGGCCCAAAAGACAACGAAACAGAACTTATAAATAAATTAAAACTGTTCTTTCCCAATCGTTATTGCAGTCCCTCAATAGTTATCATGAGAGAGGGAAAGATTACCCTGGCAGAAAAATGAGTGAAAGAAAATCAGTGACCCAGATGAAAATGAAATAAAAGTTGTTTCCATACCTAAAAGATGCTGTTGGTGGATGAAGGATGTGCAGATGACTGCAAGAAGAGAAGAAGTAGTAAAAATCATGACAGTGAAATAAGATTTCAGAAACATTATTCTGGCTGAACCTCTAGTCAGTGACGCAGTGATGTCTTGTACTAACCATAAATGTTTTTTGTTCCACTTACTATACATAAATTAATATTCTCATACAGTGGATGCTCAAACTCCAGTTTATACAACTTTAGGGCAGAAAGTAACCAAGTTAGAGCTCAGTTAGGATAACTAATAAAGGAGAATTTCAAAATTCCTGAATAATTCAATCCACGAGATGTTGACATGTGACTGCAGAGTCATTCAGAGTGTTCTGATATGAAATGGTTCATTGCAGAGAAATGTACCAACTCGCTTTTCTTTACAGTGGTGGTGATAGGAACCAGGGGTCGCCATGTCCGCCGCACAAAAATAGCTATTTTATTCACTACTCAAAACCACCTGTGAACCTATACGTGTGTTTTGTGTAACGTTGATGATGGTGCATGTACTCATCCGCCTCAAAGGAAATTAAGTCAAAACTTTATCACAAAACTACCATTAACAATGTTTCAGTCATCATGCAACACATATCTAACCATTTCATATAATAACTTTGAGAGGGGGCTTTCAGAGGCATTCAGTTCTTCAGATGTGTCCACTGTCACCTCCACTTTGAACATTTCTGAATCATAGCTAGTTTCTCTAGAACAGGGCATCTTCTACCAAACCGCTGTGAATGACTGTCAACATCACAACCATTTAATTATACAGATTTCTTTTTAAATCGGTGGAGTTCTCCTAAGTTTTAACTAACTCAAGCACCAGTCACTCGATGTCTCTCGCTCTAAATATTTCTGCTTTATCTTCTAAACTCATGCGAGTGAAGCACCAAACCTGGTCTGTGATGTTAAGCCATTAGCTTGCAACCACACATCACAAAACAAAACATCTGCACATAAAAAGCATTAAATAAATATTGAAAAAAGTAAATAAAAAGGAAACAGTAACCAGATTACGTTTCAGGATTCTGTTTCTTCTGTTTATAGTTATTTGGTTTTATAGTGTAGTATCGCTGGCCTATTATCACTTAGACAAACATAAAGAGACCAATGGAAGTGTTTATTAATGTTGTTTATTGATGTTTGTGTGAAGTGAAAAGCATACATTCTGGTTCTTCACTCTCTCCCATTACAACACCAAAGTTTTTTCCAGAAGCTCATCTTCTCTTTGCTCCTCACTCTCATGTCCTTCGAGGGCTCCTTCCTCCTTTTTTCCTCAGCCGTCTTTCATTGAATTGCATTGCATTTTGAGCTCCTTGGCCTTCTTCTTCTGGATCTTCTTCCATTCTTGTCTTTCTTCCTTGCTCATGTTCTCACTCGGGACTCAGCTCATGCGGTTTTGCAGCTCCTGCATCAGCTTGTGTTTCTGAATGCCCACCAGAGGAACCGCTGAGAGGATCCTGTCCTCGCTCTCCTTAATCGCAGCTACCGGATCCCTCATCATCTCCTGTTCGCGCTCCAGCTCCTCCATCTCCATCTCCATGCTTCATAATGGCCTTGTACTTGACGTTCACCTCCAGATTTTTGGAGCGGAGCTCATCAGATATCTCCCAGATCTTCTTCACCTTCTTCTTTTCTGCTTCCTACATCTTTCTCATCTCCTCAATCTCTTCCTCTTTCATCAGGAGCTCATCCTGTAGCTGCTCGTTTGCCTCTAAGAGCTTCTGGATGCGCTGCTTCATCTGGGCTTCTAGATGTTCTTTCTCCAGCGCCTCAGCAGCTTTTCTCATCTTTTCTGTCCTCTCCACTCCTCCCTCTCTGTCCTTCAATCCTTCTGGTCTCTCTCTGTGGATGCTTCTTCCATCTCTCTGGCTTGGTCCAACTGCCAGTCCTTTGTTTTGAGCTCAGCACTGAGTTTCTCTACGTGCAACACCAGGCAGGCCTCCTTGACTGTCCACTGGATTTTCGTGAATGACATCACAAACGTTCGTGATGACATCATTACATACAGTAGAAGGACGTATTTCACTAAAAAGCAAAGAAAACTTACCTATATTTCTCCTTTTTTCTACAGCAAACAAGTTTTGGGCAGCAGAACGCTGGCATTACTGCCACTAAGTGCTGATTGGTTGGCGAATGGAACAGCTCATTGGCTGTTTGTGCTCACTGATATCATGGACGTACATGAGGTGCCGTTTTAACCTCCTCCTATAACTCGAATTTAAAAGCTCTTAAAAAATAACAGCAGTGTTAAAATGTTTTATGCTAACACTAAAATGTTTTAGTGTTCAGGAAGTGAATGCATTCTTTTACATAAACGATGATTTTGCTCAAATGCACCACAGTAACCCATTAATTTTGGACTCACTCAGGAGCGCCCTCTAGCGTTTGAGAAACCTGGAAGACACTGCAGAGTGGTAATTCTCATCTTTACAAGTTCTCTGGTTGAATGTTGGCCACTCATCCGGCCCGCCTCAGATATACACATGTAGTGGAAACACATATTCAGAAATGTACAGAATACAGAAATTAAGTATCTTAATAAATATTAAATACACCTACTTTTTACATAACAGGCACATAGCCTATTCAGGAGAATCTTCAAAATGAAAACCATCAATGCTTGCTTATTAGCTTTTTTTTAAATCAGCAGGCAGCATGTAGCATATATGCTCAGTAGAGGAATTCTATATAGGACCTCAATTAACGGCTTCTTCACAAACAC